ATATAAGTACTTTCTAAGGGTTTGGGGGGGGGGGGTCAGTTCCAATACAGTGTTTTGTCCTGTTTTGTGCCTTCAAGTCAGTCTTGACTCCTGGCAACTCCCTGGACTAGTCCCTCCAGTTTTCTTGGCAGGATTTCTAGGAAGTGGTTTGCCCTTGCCTCTTTCCTAGGGCTGAGAGAGAGTGACTGGCCCAAGGTCACCCAGCTGGCTTCGTGCTTCAGGCGGGACTAGAACTCACCATCTTCCGGTTTCTAGCCTGGTGCCTTAACCACACCACCACACTGGCTCTCTAAAAGATAAAATGTGTGTGTTTATGTCTATGCATGTATGTGTGCCTTCAAGTCAGTCTTGACTCCTGGTGGCCGCCTAGACAAGTCCTTGCAGTTTTCTCAGAAGATTTTGGAAGTGGTTTGCCATCACCTCCTTCCTAGGGCTGAGAGATAATGACTGGCCCAAGGTCACCCTGCATGCTTTGTGCCTCAGGTAGGACTAGAACTCATGATCTCCCATTTCTAGCATCTTAACCACTACACCAAACTGGCTCTAATATGGTGTTAGCTAGTTCATAAAGTTAGCTAGTACTCAATATGCAAGTTAGTAGAGTAACAAGATTAAATACAAGCAAAATGCATCACAATCAGTAAACAGAGAACTAAAAGTGGCTTCAATAGAGATTCCTGAGATTTAATCTCAAATAGTGATTAAATAGGCCTGGGTAGGATCATCAGCAGTTTGAGCTATAGCCGTGAAAGCTGGTAGGACCCACAAACCAAGGTTTACTTGAGTACTTCAGTAACGAGAGAGGAAAATCCTGCTTGGCAATTCCTCACAGCTCCCAAAGATGGCATGCCCCTTGCAGTGGAGACTGATATGTCCTGAGCTTATTATGTCTGCATCTTCTTTAACCCTAAAGCAGTGTTGGCTGGCTGGGGAATTCTGGGAGTTGAAGTCCACTCATCTTAAAGTGGCCAAGTTTGGACAACACTGCCCTAAAGGATATGGAATTGTGGCAACTTCCTTTAACTTCTGAATGGCTACTAGAGGCCTTATTCTGAGGAATGTTTTCCTCTAAAACTATACACTATTAAGTCTTAGAAGACCACTACGTTTCCGTGCACAGTCTTATTTTTAATTACCTTCCTCTCCCCCATGTCCCACCCCCAGCATTTTAATACTGCAACTATTTGGTACTTGTCAACATATTTATTTTTATTTATACACATATTTATCTACACATACACACACATTTATTTAATTGGGGGGAAAACTTCAGCAGATTATTTTTTTATCCAAAGAAGGGTCTTTATTCAGAAAAATCTTCAGAAAAATATACAGTCATTTAGAAGCTCTAATGAACATATGATCCCAAAGTTGTGACACTGCATTTCACAATCTCAGAACACTGGTCAAGGTTCTTCTTAATTCTATAGAATTTCTCCACATATTCAGATCGACTCAACAGTTCCACAAAATCTTCATCGTGTGTTATCACAAGCAATTGAAAGTTACGCTGGTGAGATCTACTTTTGATTATCCTTTAAAGGAAAAACAAATGTTGCATTATATAAAATAAAAGCTGATTTAATCCAGAATGCACACTTAATCGATCCTTCTATTACATTTTATAATTAGTTGAGAGAGAAGTACTGGGAAAAGTGCACCTCAGATCGCTGTAAGGCCATTAGTAGATCAAGGAAAACAGAGATTTGGATAGTCCTGATCCAATTAGAAGTGGTGTTGGGCAAGTAAGAATGCACAGGACCTATCCGGTTCTATTTACCAAGCACCATTTATATGTGCTTTCTGTTAGATAGCTAAAATATTTCTATTTGTTAAAAACTTTCCTCATTCCCTTTTATTCCTTTAGCCATAAAATTATTTCTACTGCTGTTATATTGCCAATTTTTAGAGCTGAATTCCACTTCTAAATATTGGAACCTGCTGGTTTTAAGAAACAAGTGTATCAAATTCTACATCATGTCTTTGGATCAATATTTTCTACTAAACAAGCAGTGAGCTGCCCATGAGAAGTCATGAGTTGCCCATGAGAACTTATGAGAACTCAGTTTGCTGGGCTGGGGCTTATTTCCACATCATATAAGCCAAGAGTAATTTTCCTCACCCAGCACTATGATCTTCACCAGAAGCACTGGAACATTTGCCTTAGCCTCAGTAGTTGTTCACTCACATGTGCCTAACATGGAATGGATTGTGAAAAGTAGTTGAACATAGAGGAAGTACTTCTGCTTTTCACACTGGGATGGAGGATATCATCATGGTCTCCATTTGGGAACAAAAAAAGTGGTAGATAAATACAGAAAAGATTTGCCTGAAACTTCTAATGCTGTTACCATTTCACATGCAGAGTAGTACTTGAATTACTAGCTGCTTACTAGGCATGGAAAGTCTCCACAGGCTTAAACTTAAAATCTGCAGATACTTACTCCACCAAGGCATGTGCAAGAGATTCAATATTTTCTCGGTCAAGATTGGTGGTAGGCTCATCCAATGCAAGAATACCACAATTGAGACAAAAGGATTCAGCTAGTGCAAGACGAATAATGAGGGAGGCAAGAACCTAAAATTAAAATAAATATCACCATTTAATAAATGGGCCAGAACGCAAATGTATTTAAAAACAGTGCAGTGGCAACACTGTGACTAGTACTTCCCTAATAAGTGAGAAATATGATCTACTGGAGATGCTAAGGGTGCTGTTAAAGATCCCTAGTTTTTTTAAATAACTACCATGTCCAAGCTTTGCTATGGAAAAAAAGAACTACCATATTTGTAGCACACATTAATTTGATGCAAGTGGCTAAGCTTCTTACCCCACAGATAAAGGAAACCTTGATTAACCTTGTCTTTCCATGGCTGAAAGTATCCCTGATAACTTGTGTGCCTTTACAGCAGAGTAGTACTGAGACAACATCTAGCTTATCTTGATTGATCACCCTTTAGTTTTTCCATAGGCTGATCCCCCCATCTCTTGGGAGGAAAATTTGGATCCACTAGAACATTTGCTATATGGAAAAAAAGACATAGTCTGGGTATACACATATATTTATAACACATGAAAAGGCCCTTTAGAGAAGACTACCACCTGGGCAATCTCATATTGATCACCAGCATTCCCTTTGCTAGCATCTTATTTTTTAAATGTATAAATTAAAAGGTCTATAAACTCAAATCAGCTGAGTAGCTTTCTCCTCTGAAGAACAAAAAAAGGGAATGGGGCATTTTGTAATCATTATCCTTACAGTTTTCTTAGTAGATTCTCTTCTGTTTCAAGAATTACTATGAAAATATTCATATATTTCTGGATTATCAGTGTGAAAGCTTAAATGTGAGCTACAGCATGTTCTACTTCAAATGGTTACACTTGAGAAATCTAAGTAATAAATTTGATTACGGAGCAAAAACAATACAGCAATCATGACTCATTAATATCATTACTTTATGAATTCAAGACTAAGTGAATGTATATGAAAATTTTATAAAAATTAAGTTTTTATTACAATAAGTAACATCTAACTACAGTGGGTATATTATGTCTTCTTTTCTGAACCAAAAAATATTTGAAAACAGCTAGGTAAAATGCATCCATAACAGCATCAAGTGCTTGCTGAGTTTTAAGCAAACCACAATAAATCTGCAACCATATGCTATGGTATACAAATATAAAAATTTTTTCACCAGTAAAAAGTTTTTCCCATCTAGCAGCCTCCCCTGCACTTTTCTCAACACAGCTGATGCGGTTGACACGGTTTCACTGTGCTTTGTAATTGAAAGTGTAATGGGTGATGGTCACTGAGCTGTTAATGAGGACCTGCTCTCTCCCTCCAGTAAACATTTCCTCCCCCCAAATTAAAATACAAAAAAACTTTGCTTAAATGCAGCTGACAGACTCCATATATATTTTAGATATGCAGAGTGGGAATTAAAAGTAACATTTAAAAAGAGATTGATGGGAAAGAGTTTCTTCCCTATAGCAAGGGTGTCTAACCTGCAGCCCACCAGCTCCATTTTTATGAATCTTTGCATCCCTGCATGATTTTTTGCTTTTTAAACCTTAAATAAGCCCTATTTAGATACATTAAGTCTTACCTACTTTTGGTTAAAAAAAAAAAAAAGTCCAACTCTTACAAGGATTGCTACAAGATGAAAAAGAGTTTCACTGAAAAGTTTCTGTGACAGAAACCACCACCACTGATAATATTAAGATACTAATGCTAAGCATTGGGTGCAACTGCTTTCCTTCAGAAGAGATTTTCAGTCCCAAACTGGATGGCCATATTTGAACAGCCATCTTGCATTTAAGTAAGCTAAAAGAGGAATGCATCCTGTGCTCCTACAAGCAGCCATTTTACTCTTTCATTTGCTCATGTCAAAAACCAAGCTAAAAAAATCTTCAGTTTAACTATAGTTTCCTTATGTCAGAATGGTTTTGGAAGCAGACATGATATGAAGCTGTTCTAAAACCATGGACCACAGCTCTCTGTACAGAAGAATATAAACTGTAGTCAGATGGAGACTTCCTGTTTACACAAGTGACAATGTGAGGCTTATTCATATTAAACACAGACACTATCATCTGAATACAGTTACTTAAGCAGCTCCACACGGAACATTCAGGTTCAAGACTTATGTTTTCCATAAGTCTTCCCCTGGAAAAAAAGGTGAATTGATTCTTTGTTCTTTTTCATTCTATGTTGCTTCACTATTTCTGAGTTTACTTTTTCAACCAATAGTCTAGAATGTGTACCTAGTAAAAATGTCTATACATCAATGGATTGCCACCCAAACTATATGCTGCTACATACCTTTTGGCCAGCACTGCATCTGCCTCTCATATCTAGAGCAGTATCTCCTTTCATCATTACTACTCTATAATTGTAACTCCTCCTTTTGTCAGAAGCAGAGATATTCTCATCAGCATCAGACCGAATTTCTATATATTCAATATCTATAGGGGGGAAAAAAAGGCAATTCCATACAGTTAGTTGCCAAAGCAACTTTCCTTACCTTAAAGCATTTTAAATGTATCTACACACTAAACTCCACCTTATTCCCAAATAGGCATGTCATTTGCCCATAATATAGACAGTAGCTCAGAGTTTTGTCAAAAGAGGGTCTTTTTCCAGATGTTGTGTGTTTGTGTGCTTATTTTACATTTTCATTTTGCATATGTCAGCAAGGAGATGGATTTTCCTTACAACCCACTCTCCACTGCAGTGCCCACAAATTCTCTTTTCACAAGGTAAATGCTAAGGGTATTACTTTTTAAAAGGAAAAAGAAAAAAAGAAATTTCAGAATGCAGAATTCTGGTAGCTCAGCAGTTGCCATCTGTAAAGAGGAAAAGGAAGAAGGTAATGCAACAAGGCAAGTAACAGGAAAGAATTTATCTAAAAGCATCAACAAAGATGACTCAAAGGGCAATGCCATGCTGCTTAATATGGAAGACTGTATTACCTCTCAAGGACCCAATGTATAAATCTATTTTTATCTTAAAGGAAGATGATCTCAGAACTTTATCTCCAATTCTTTGCATCCCCAATAAAAGCTAGTGCATATGTGTGTGTGTGTGTGTGTGTGTGTGTGTGTGTATTTGTACCTTGTCCCCTGTACGTGCTTCTCCACAGGTCACGAATTATCTTGTTAATTTCTTCCATTTTCATGCTATGAAATGTCATTATTGCTCTAAGAGATGGAAAAGAGAAAAGAGACTTTAAAAATGTCAGTTCCTTTGCTTTCACTATACTCTGACCATGCAAGGTTATGCTTCAATATTCAAGAATTGATGCCAGAAGTATGCAAAAAGGTCTAATATAAGCATGAGAGAAAGACTATCTTACTTGGAAATTGCATTACTAAAATCCCATATATTGAATCTTGTAAGATTCCTTCAGTTATTCTTGAGAGGTGTTATAATAAATCTCACAAGCCATTTCCAAATAATTAACACCACAATCCAACAGAATCTGGGTTGCTGATTTTAATGGATCCATGAACACTAAACACAGACTAGGACTATGGTGTAAGCATTCAGTGTTTAAGATTGATCATAGATAAAGTCATAAGTAGAAACAATTCAGAAATGCTCTGCATTCACTTAAATAATCTTTTAAAAGAACAACTTGATTTTAAAGTAACAAATTTAATCAGGGAATATTTAAAGGATAACATTTATTAATAGTAATTCTGAGTTTCAAAATGCTTCTCCTTCTTACAGAAGCATAAGCATATGTAATTATAAGGTCATATTTGGAATATAAAAAGGCCACTGACCAAGTATGCCAAATAAAATAGACATACAGCTCAGTTCATATGTAACAAGAAACCCAAATTCCTGGTTTGTGCCCCTGCAACATGAACTGGTGTCACTCCTCCATTGCTGAGAGCAAGCTAACAAGCCAGGATTTCTCATTTTACTTCTCAGGATATTCTGACCTTAAAGTGGCTATTCCTGAACAAATGGAACTTCACAGCAAATATCAAAGCAAAATAGCTAAGCTATAATTTACTAAGAGGTTCAGCATTACTTTCTGAAAGAAATTCCTATTCTTTTTTTACTATACACATTAGTTAACATGGCAAGGAAAAGAACTCTTCTGGCACGTTACAAATTAATACTATTATTTATCACTGAATCTCTATGATACTACTCTTAGAGATGCAAAATTTCCAGAAATTTTGAACACACAGGGAAAAAAAGGATTGTTTCCTTTTTTCAGAAAAAAAAACCTACCCCAAATTTTGTTTTGTTATGTACATAATTTTTATTAAAGAAACTTTTAAAAGAACAAAAACAATACAAATTTTGAAAGAGAAAAGTAAGGAAAGTGAAGAAAAGTAATAGGTAAGTGAAAAAAAGTGCAAAGAAACAAATAGGAAAGAGAAAGATAAAAAAGAAAATAGAAAAGATTATAAAAAAGAGGCTTCTGATCTTCTTAACAGCAGTTATAAGTAATTTATATTTTACCCTCTCTAAGGTTACAACATAATTTCCTTCTTTCCATAATCTACCCTTTCTAATAATCAAACCTGTAAATCACAAGTTCATTTTTTTCTTTTTTCATTAAAAAGGCCATAAGGCCACATTCCAGTCACTAATAAACATAGTTATTATCCTTTCTCTAATCAAACAAGTCAATTTTGCCACCTCTGCTAATTCTGTCATCTTTACCAGCCATTCCTCCATTGTGCGTATTTGAGTCTTTCCATTTTTTGTGCATATAATAATCTCACAGCAGTTATCATATATAAAAAACAGTCTTCCATAACTTTTTCTAATTGTCTATCCATTAATCCCAACAAGAAGAGTTCTGGTTTCAACTGAATATTAATCTTTAAAGTTCTTTGTATCGCTGTATGTATTTGAACCCAAAACGATCTGCTTTTTTGTAAGTCGACTAGGCATGATAAAAAGACCCTTTATGTTTTCCACATTCCCAACATAAATTTGAAGCACCTTTTTACATTCTAGATAATTTTTCTGGAGTCATGTACCAATGGTACATCATTTTATAAAAGTTTTCTTTAAATTATAATATAATGTGAATTTCAACCCTTTCAGAAACATATTTTCCCACTGTTCCATCAGTATATTATGTCCAAAGTTCTTAGCCCACTTTATCATACACTATTTCTCTTGTTCTTCCTCCATTTCAAATTTCAACAAGTTTATATATTTTATCAATTACATGTTCATCATTTGTACATAGTCCAATTTCAAATTCTATCTTGTGCTGTTTAATTCCAAATGTCCTGTTAATCTCCTTTAAACCTTTCTCTTAACTGTGCATACGAAAACCAGTGAAAACTAAATCCCTCTGCAGTCAATCAATCTCTTGATTTCATCTTATATTCTCCATGCTCTTGTTACAACTCTCGATAACCATCTTTCTTTGCCTGCTGTTTCTTTTCTATAAAATGCTTCTTGTGTTGAGACCCATACAGGCATTTTTGGCCACAATCTGGGTTTATATCTATTCCATATTCTCAATATGGCACTTCTAATATACTGATTTTTAAAAGCTACACTAACCTTATCATACCACAGAAAGCCATGTCATCCAAACCTCAGGTCATGCTCTTCTAGTTCTAAAATTCTCTTATTTCTCAGCAGCACCTACTCCTTTATCCAAACCAAGCACCAGGCTGCAAAATACAATTTCAAATCAGGCAGACTTAATCCTACTTGTTCCTTTGCATCTTGGAGGATTTTATATTTAACCCTTGGCTTTTTCCCTTGCCATACAAACCTAGATATATCTTTCTGCCATTGCTTAAATGGTACATCAGTTGTCAAAATAGGTTTTGTTTGAAACAAAAACATAATTCTAGGTAATACATTCATTTTTATCACAGAAATTCTCCCCGTCAATGACAACTGTAATTTCTCCCATCTTAGCATCCTTCTTAATTTCATTCCATGTCCTAACATAATTGTTCTGAAATAACATACACTTCACATTAGTCATAGTAATATCCAAGTATTTCACTTTTTTCTCAATCTTAAAACCTTAAATCTTAAATTTTTTCCATTAAGTCTTTTTGCTCATGGTTTTTGTTAACGTCGAGGAAAAAACCCCCCAAATTTTGGAAAAAACTGAAATATACCTAATCTTCATTTTAAACAACTTACCAATTTAGATTCACAATACTATCTTAAGAACATATAATGTAATACAGATAACTTGGCTTACTCATACTGTTATCATGTTTGATATATTTATTCAATGTAAAGGTATAATTTAGACAAGAATTTACTAACTGGATTTACTTTGAAATACTTTTAAAACTTGCTTTTCATGCCCTTTCAGGCCTAGAGAAAAGCAGATCCACTGACATCAAGATAAAAAAATCAGAAACACAGAAGGCCACATCCAAATCAGGCACTAAATCCCTTCTTTACTGAGAACAGCACTGCCCCAGGATAAATTTTGCATTTGAGGGTTATACTGCTCTGCTGGTGCTCACTCTGCATTTATTATTCTAAAAGAAAGTATTTCATTTTTAAAAAATGTTTTCAAAATATTTCAATTTTAGAAGAAAAAGACGGGGGGGAGGGAGAGACATTTCCCAATTTTTAATGCTTTTTCTCCCTGAGCCTTCACATCTTTAGTTACTCTATGACTGAGTACCTACTGTTAATTAGGGTAAAGATCTTTGTACTATCTAAAAATGTATCTCATTTTTCTTAATTGTTTATCACTTCCCTGTCAAATCATAGATATATGGTCACTACATGCATCTGATTACATGGAGCATAGTTCCCCAAAATTCAAGCTATAATCAATTTGTTGGTCTTTCGAGATGCCACACGCCTTGTTTTTGCTGCAACAGACTCACCGAGAGCATTCGGTGATCCGGACAGCTCCACCCCAAATGGTATTCAGGGATCCATTAAAGACCTGGCTATTCTCCCAGGCCTTGGAGCAGCATGAGGCTTGAGCCCGTTGGATGGGGTTTTGTTTGTTTGTTTAGATGTTTGTTTTCAGGCCACACAAAGTATTTTCTTTCTCTGTTTTTTGTACTTTCCCCACTTTTTTAAAACTGTAAGTTGCACACAGTTGTTGGGAGTCAGATGGCCTCAGAATTGTGCAAATAAATAAATTGTAGGATTGACCACAGCATTTTGTGCTGTACAAGCCAGGAACTGTAGTTAAATGATAAATCCTGACCATTTACTTTCCTCCACAAAGGGAAGAACAAAACCTGGTACAAACCCCTATGCATATCTTGCCTTAGAAAATGCAAGTGCTGGCTAACATAATATTAATTATGGCCAGTTTTAAAATTGGGTGCAATTAACCTGATTGGGGTGCAAAATAAGGGAGCTAGGAAAATGTTTTAAAACTATGCTACTCTAATAAAAAGTTGAAACAACGATGGAGATCTCATTCCAGTACAGCTACAAATCCTTCTTAGTAAAAAAAAAAAAAAGCTTTTGTATCCTTCCATTATGCTTATAGCTGGTTGTTTAACACTCTGGAAAACCCTACGCCATATTTTTGTAATGTTAGCAGCAAAGGCAAAAATGGAAGAGATATAATGGAAAATATAATTTGGTAGATGGTGTAATATTGCCTAAAGATGTTCCAAGAACTGTTAGTTTCATTGTTCTCATTAGTTATATTTAGTCATGCTTCCGTTGTAACATTGGATTTTATAGCAGCTCTTTGCCTGATAATATCAGACTTTTAAAAGTTGAGTCATGGTTATTTTTACTAGTGAACGGAGTTGCATATTTGGGTGCATCAGATAAAAATACAGAAAGAGAAGCATATTTGCTTATCATGTTTATTCTTATCATGTTTTTTAAAATATGATAATCCAAAAGCTTTCCTTTTTTAAAAAAAGAGAGGGAGAAGTTATTATTTTATTTTTCGATTTCGTAAGTTACTTCTTTTCATTTAGGCTGACAGAACTCACAAGCAACATTAGATTTTAATGTGAAAATAGCCTTCAATTTATTTTATACTACAAACTGATTATCTTTCACAAGGCAACTACAAAACATCTGCACCAGTTCTTCTGACCAATTTCTTTTTCCACTGGAATCCTATGTCCTTCCGTATTGTTTAGAAAAGTCTCTAGACCTTGCAAAGGATAGAAAATAAATTGATTCCTCTAGGGTTACCTCACAAATTGCCAGACTGGAAACCCTTAAGGAAATGTCTGGTATGGAATTTCTGATCCACCACTGTTTTAATGCCACAGTAATCAGAAATCAGTCACAACGTAAAAAGATCTGAGCAGTTTTCACATACATACTGTCATTGTAGAGGGACTAAACCTTTTGTGCCTTGCGCGCAAACCTTTCATTGAGGTGGAACCTTATCCACCTCAATGAAAGACTGCAGAAGCACTTGGTTATTGCTCTGCCAGTCCTTCTTCTCCAGACCTACTTACAGGCATGGCAGTTCTTTATTTTTCAAGATTCCAAACTGAAGGGACAGAAGAACTAAAGTGCTCTGACGTGTGATATAGTGGTCATGGCTCCATGCTCCAAAGTCTGTTACTCTGCACTATCAACAGAATTACAGTATAGACTGTGTGAGTTGGAAGGGATGCTATAGACTAGTGTTTTTCAACCTTGGCAACTTTAAGATGTGTGGGCTTCAACTCCCAGAATTCCCCAGCCAGCAAGGACCATGTAGTCCAACTCTCTATTCTGTGCAGGAACCCATTAAAACATCCACGACAAGTAGTCATCCAGTCCTGCTTGAAAACCTCCTACGAGGGGGATTCCACCACCATTCTAGTCGGTGCCACAATTTAACAACTCTTACTGTCATGGAATTCCTTCTAGTGTTCAGCCTAAATCTCCTTTCTTTTAATTTCAACCCAATGGTTCTTGCCCTGTTCTCAGTTTTAATAGAAAATAGATCTGTCCCCTCTTGCACATAACAGTCTTTTCAATATTTGTAAACTGCTATCCTTTCCTTTCAGTCTATTCTTTTTTATGTGAAACATATCAAGCTTCTTTAATCTTTTCTACTAAGGTTTGATTTCCAGACCCTTTTTCATTATGGTAGCTCTCCTCTGAACCTACTTCAGCTTCTCTACGTCCATTATAAAAGAGGGGTATTCAAAACTGGACACAGTTCTGCAAAAGTGGTCTAATCGCTGGGTGACTTTGGGCCAGTCACTCTTTCTCAGCCCAACCCACCTTACAAAGGATTGTTGTGGGGAAAATAGGAGGAGAGAGCATTATGCATGCTGTCTTGGGTGGTACAAAATAAAGGTGGAATATAAATCTAATAAATACATAAATAATAAACATGTGCATAGTAAAATTGCCTCCCATGATCTGGGTGGAGTGCTACTGTTAATGAAGTCCATGACTGCACAGCCTTTGAAGCTTCTCCCATAGGCTGCTCATGTTCAGGTGGGATCCACTAATACTTCTAGATTTTACTCACACATCCTATACCACACCAGATTTCCTTAATCTATACCAATGCTTTGATTTTTGAGTTGGGAAATTCTCAGACCATGTATCTGTCACAGCTGAACATTATCTTGTTGGATTTCGTCCAATGCTTAAACTTACCAAGATCATTTTGAACACAACTTTGTCATTAATGTATCAGATAAAATCTGATTAAGTATCTTTCCCTTCAATCATTTATAAATATACTGAATAGCACTGGACCAAGGACAAAGCCCTGGGAGATCACACTGAATTTGTCCCTGCAGGACAAAGCTGAACCATTTAGGCACAGACTTTAAGTGTGGTTGTTCAACCAGCTGCAAATTCACCAGCAACAGTACCTCCTAATCCACATTTATCCGTTTTGTTCACAAGGATATTGCTAGAGACAACATCAAATACTTTACTGAGTTCAAGTGCACTACTGCCAACTGTTCCCTATGATTACTAAACTAAGGATAAACTGATGCAACTTGTTCTTGACAAACCCATGCCGATTCCTAATAATGGTGGCATTCTTTTCTAAATTCCTGCAGATACGCTCCTTATAATCTGTTATAATACTTTACTCGGTATAAATGTTAAACTAAAAGCTGGTCTATAGTTTCCCAGGACTTTCCTCTTCCCTTCAGAACAGTGGAAATATGTTTATTCTTCTGCAATCTTCAGGCACTACATCAGTTCTCCAAGGAGTTTTCAAAGAATACAGTCAGTTCTGCCACTTTTTTAAAGGAGGTAATTTGTTTGGACCTATAGACTTGAATTAATCTAAGGTAGCAAGGGTGGGTTGTTACTATATATCAGTCCTGAGCTAAGTTCCTCCCACCCAACCTTCTTCAACCATGTTAAGAGGTTCTATCCCTTTTTTGAAAGAACCAATGCAAAGATATTAAGGAGATCTGCCTATTCCCCATTATTTCTCCACCTTCCTCATATAGCAGACCCATAACCTTCTTGATTCTTATTTTTGACATACTGTACATCTCCCCTTCCCCATCCAAAATCCCATCTTGTTATATTTCACATCCTTCTCTGGCTCTTCTCACTCTGAACTTGAGCCTTTCTGACTCCATCTCTATGAGCTTGGGCTCTCAGTTTGTTTTCCTCAATTATCTCCCCCTGATTTTCTTTATATAACCCCTTTTTGCTTCTTGTCTTGTGTATGCCTACTATTCATTCATACAGGTTCTTAACCTTTATTCCGTTTTGATTTCTCATGGAGGTTACTTGTCCTTGTGCTTTCAGGATCTCACATTACTCTTGAGCTTGCTTATCCTTGTGAATGAATGAACACCCATCTTTGTGAAGCCAAGGTGCATGACTGACTTCTTCCAAGTTTTCCTCCTTTGATCATCTAGAAATCCAACCTATTGTGGCCACTTTTTCCCCAGGTGCCTGGCACCTTCACTCAGCTGACCAATTTGTCGATTGGAATTAGATGTAGGATCTATTGTTTCTTCTTCAGCCTTTTGAAAAACTAAACTTTCAGCGGGAGACATCATTAATCTGTGATCTTCTACTAAGGGTTTGTTTTTCAGCAGATGTTGGATAGCTGAAGTCTTCCATTACCACTATATCCTGGCCTCTTGAGAACTGGGAAAGTTAATTTGGAAAGGCATTGTTCACTTCCTTTACGGGCAATTGGGAGGGGGAAAATAAGGGAAGAATTTTTTCTTCCCCTCTGAGGATCTCTGTCCCCACAGAAATAATAATACACAGTACAATTGCCTACACTTATTAAATCAAAGCTTGAATACAAATTGTCCCTTTAATATATTTCGCGAATACAGAATGACTAATTAGAGGTATATGTTGCTGATCAACACAATTTCCCAACTAATGTAAATAGAGAAGCTATCTAAATTAGTAATAAGATAGTTACCAAAAGCTGTTATGTAACTCCATGATTCCAGAAAGTTTTCCCAAAAAGACAGTGAGAGAAGTAAAAGCAACAAACAAAATAGCAAGATATAGAACAGAGAAAGTCTTACACTTTATCCACACATTCCTGCACACTCACATACACAGGTCCTCTTCATCACTAAAAGTGTTGGATTCTGATCATTTTCATCAACCTTGTTATGGAATACAGAAGACAACTTGGAAAGAGATGTGGCTGTTCTTGGGCAGTTCATGGCCTGATTATGCTTTTATCCATAGTCATATCTTCTTGTCTCTGGCTTTTCACTATTTTAGTCCACCCCAGCATGCTATTGCATGCATCTGTGCATTCGGATGGCGTGTTTATACAGGCAGTCCCCAGTTTAAGAATGAGTTCTGTCCCCAAGATTTGTCCTTAAGTCGAATTTGTAAGCCAGAACGTATTATTGTATAATACTGTATAAGTAGTAATTACTTATGTTAATGTTATGTTAATTGTGTAATTAACTTGAATCACTGTATATTTAACTCGAATTTTGCTACAATGTCCTTAAGTCTGTCCTTAACTATGGGTCATCCTTAAACTGGGCGTTCTTAACCCAGGGACTATCTGTACTTCATTAAACTGTTCACTAAACTCATTATCCATCATGACCACTAGAAAAGGTTATTTGCTGGGCAAGTCTGCAAAGATTATATTCTGTTCAAACATGGACTCTCTTTGGTTCAGCTAGGCCTTGGTTTCTGTATGTCCAAAGTATCCTTCCAAGAGGAGCCTGTAATAATCTTCTGTTGACAATTTATTTTCTATTTATCTTAGCAGAATTCAAATTCTGGTAACTGGAAGATATTTTATTGTAAAATATAATAATATAAATTGTTGTATAAATTGTTGGCTTCAAGGAAATAGAACATGCTGTAAAGGCAGAAGCAACAAGTAAATGCTACTAATGCAGGAATCCAGCAAAAAACTAAGAGTGCTTATGAGGTGACCCTGTGACTGTCAAAGATCTTGAACTTTTTCAATAGGAATAGGAGGATCTGGAATTAAACTCTCAGAGCTAAGGAAACTGAGAATGGACAAAAAGATCAAGGGTGCACTGTACCAATCATAACTGTAAGTGTAACAGGTTTGATGTTGAAGTCTATTAAACAATTTGCATAAACATACAGTAGCATGATAAGTTGATATGAGTCTGGAACAAAATGAGTTGATAGATTCCACAGTGCAGGGTAGATACGTGATTCAACCTGTGGACTGGCTGGAAGGAGATTTGTCTCATATTTCTCATTCAGGAATAAAATCTAGAATCTCATCTTAATCAGTAGTGTGAGCCAGTACTAATAGAGGTAGTAATCAACCTATTACTGTCAGAAGTGTAGAATGTGGTAGCAACAGGCCACTATTAAGAAGCACTAGTGAAGAAGGCAAAGTGAATTGCTCACACTTCACACCTCCTCTTTCTCTTATCCTTTTGATTCTCGTGTTCAATCAGTCCTTTGCATTTAGGACCACATCCTGCAGTATTAAGAGACTTGATACTGATGTGGTGACGGTCACCATCACAGGAGACTTAGCATAGAGATACTTATTGCTGCCAATATCTTCATATCCATCCTATCCACCCAAATAAGCTCTTGTAAGTATATTAATGATTTGTTAAAGAACAGCCAAATGTTATTTAGTTTACTTTGCAATTGAAATATTTTTGGTATATGACATTACTCACTGATCCAGTGCTTTGTAGTAAATGTCAAGATCCTTGTTTGCCAGTTCTGTTGTTCTCATAACTATCATCATCTCTCTATACTTCTCTTCAGCATCTTTAAACTGTTGTTCTTTCAGTTCTCTCTTACATCTCAGGATCTCTTCCTCAAATCCATGCTGCCGACCAAGTGCCAAGCTGTGGTTTCTTTTCAAATCCTCTATTTTTTCTTCTAAATGTTTTTGGTCTCTAAGTAAAAAAAAGACCAACATACAGTTCTATTATTACACTTATGAGCAAAAAGCACTGCCAACTCGATTATGAAAAAAAGGAATATACACGAGGAATTAGGGCACTATGGAAGCGGAGAGGACATCTAATCTTCAACACTGAGAAAGAAGCAAGAATCCCCATTTTAAAGTAAGTATAATGCAATGGAAAACAAATTGTGAAAGTGTAAAATGGAATAGGAAATGGCATTTTTACAGACTTGTGTATTAATGATGTAAAGGCATTACAATAACCTGTATGAAATACATCTAATTAATATTTACAGTTGCAAAGTGTATTCACATCTCTGAAACTAAATATTTTGGTTTGTAGAAGGAGACTAAATAAAACAGAAGAAAGTATAGCTTGAATTTGGCTGTCCATAGTTTATAGCTTTTGTCTTATTTCTTTTTTAATCACTTAAGCAATGCTGTCTCTACATATATCGGCCTCTAAAGGTGGAACATCTGCAGGAGTTCAACGCATAGTCATTGCAACATTATAGCAACCTTAATACAGGGCCATTCAGCCTCTGCTTAAACATTTCTTTTGAGGAAGTGTTTCACAGTTGAACAGCTTATAACAGCTTATATATCAGGACATTCTTAGCATTAGTTTCAAATCCCTTACTTGTAACCTGAACCTGCTCACTTGAGCCATACCCTGTAAAGCAACAGAAAATACTTTTGCTATATTATGTTTCAAGGATTACAATAGCTGTCCTACATCAATTTAGCCACTCCATGCATCTGATGAAATGAACTGTAGCTCATGAAAACTTATGCTCTTTAATAAAAATAATTCATCTGAAGAGGTGCTACTAGGCTCTTCCTAATTAACAGCTGACTTATAACTGTAAACTTACAGCTATACGCAAGATGTGGAAATTACAACTGATCTATGTAATTGTTTTAATGGTTTTAATTATTGAAATTGTTCACTGCCCAGAGTCACTTGGATTGAGATGGGTGGCTATAGAAATTGCATAAATAAATAAATAAACCTATTCATGGTAATAAATCAATGGAGATGTCACCATTAGAGGCAGTGCACTTTGTAATAGGACATGCTGAGAATAAACCACAGAGGAAACACTGAAGTGCTATTTATGATTACCAGAAGCAACTGTCTAAAATCAGTCAAGTTGATTGCTCATGCTACAATTGTTGAGAGGAGGAGAGAATTATCTAATCAAAACAACAGGAAATTCTTTCAGTCTACAAGCAATTCCTCTATCACGATGCAGTCACTATGTAAATACTTGTGACCAAATAAGGAAAAAGAGTTAAAATGCAAATACTTGAGGTCTAATGCCTTTGATTTAAGAAATGATTTTTCTTTATAAAGAAAGCTCAAAATATACCTTTTCAGTTGTGGTACTTGCATTTCCTCCATCTCCTTCAAATGCTGCTTTATGTTATCTTCAACTTCTTTTAGATCTTCATGTCTTTTTCTTAAAGTAAGGTTATCTTCTAACCATCGTTCCTGAACCTAAATTGAAATAAAACTGAATAGTGAATTATTCTACACTATTTTATCCCATTACAATCAAAAGAGCATAAGCAATGAGTTGTTAACAAGAAGCTATTGTCAGATGTTCTGCAAGTTTGCAACATCATGATCCCTTAAAATGATAAATCAATTTTAATTTCATGAATTTCATGAAAAAAATTAAATAACCAACCAACCAACCAACCAACCAACCAACCAACCAACCAACCAACCAATCAGTTGTTATTGTTAGACAGATTTGACAAGCTGGGTGACCTTGTGCCAGTCATTGCCTCTCAGCCCCAGGAAGCAGGCAATGGCAAACCACTTCTGAAATCTTGCCAAGAAAACTGCAGAGGCTAGTCCAAGCAGTTGTCAGAAGTCAACTCTGACTTGAAGGCAGCAACAACAACAAAAAGTTATTTTAACTGAAACCTGAACTGAACATTTTTTCAGATAATGTCCTATGTACAAGAAGAATCTTGAATAAAAAGATAGATGTAGAATCACACTCTGCATTTTAATAAGCAGAAATTACTTCCACCACAGAATAAGTCCTTCAACTTTCCACGGCAGATTCTGAGGCATATAGGCAACACATAGAGAAGCAAGTCCCACTGCACAAGTGGATGTCTGCCTAACACTTCATTCAAGTATATTTATTCAAACAGTATAAATTATCTTAAAAAATTCACACCATTGTACTTTGTTTTATGAAAGCAATAGTTTTCATTAATGACCCTGATCTTTGAGGTGGAAGGAACTTATTTATTTCTTATTTCAGAAGAAAGATTTCAATGGACTATAATGGAACCTTAATGAAATTAGTTTTGGGGAAGCAAGAACCTAATTCATCAGATGAAAAAAAGTGCTAGGATTATATAATTCATATGGAGGATAAAGCAAGTTCCAAAAGAGAGACCTAGTGTCCTGATGATTGCTGTGCAACAAATAAATGGAACATAAGTTTATTTTTTGAAATAACATAATACTATAAATCCTTAAGACTTGAGAAAACATTTGTACCTATGCCAGTTTTCTATCTTCACTCATTGTTCCCTGATGCTAATACACATGCAAATGTAAGGCACAGAGTACCACCCAATAATACCTTTTGGTAGAGCAGGATTACAAGTGGTATTTTCATCCTCTTACTGCTTTGTGTTATTGTATTTGGCTACTTGAGATTACTAGTAAGTAGCACTCACACGCTGTAAGCATAATAGGCATTTCTGCTACACTTCAGTTACTTCCTAAGTACAAGAGGATTTTATTACAACCACTGCACAATTACATTATAAAGCCTCAAGTTAAATTATTGTCACTTGATCTATTAAGTTCAATAATAATTATCAGCAAATATGATGCAATTCATAAAGTAGAATATAAGATGTCGTAGTAGTTCTTGACTATTACGATTTCAAAATATAGTATTACTAAAACGTAGAGGACACTTTATATATAGTCCATATTGATATATTATTAGATTAATGGTGGAGACAAAGGTACCTTTTGAGTATCAATATCTTGCCTAATTGTTCCCATTTCTTTATTTATCTTCTCTTTCTTTTCCTCACAATCTGCTAGCTGAATTGTGACTTTCTCCAGTTCAGATTCCTTTTGCTGCAAAAGACAAATAAACATTTCAGTGTTAAAAGTTACATGCAAAATTTTCTGAAGAAAATTTCTGAAAAAAGTTTCTGAAAAATTTTACTAGTTATTATCTTTTTACTAATTACCTGCTTGTATTCTTCTTTCCCTTCTTGAATATAATTCTCAATCTCTTTCATATAGTTACGGATATTTTTAACTTTTTCTTTAATGTCATTTATCTGTTAGAAATGCATAAAAAGTATGCTTGATTCCAAGAAATATAAAGTTATAAATCAGTAGTCAATATTATTCAACAAATGTACACTTCAAAACACTGTAGATTCTAACTGCATCTTACCTTAATTAGAGCAGAACGTTTTGGAGAAGGATTATGAAATTTATTACATGTTGCCCAAATTCAAGGAAATAAAATGTTTCTTTTTTCTTACAGGTCAATTGTGATTTTTACAATGATTACTATGAAGATCCGCAGGTGTCTGGCTGTTATGTTTCATCCCCATCCCCTCCCTCTGGCAATGACTTATAAAAGGAAGACGGATGAGTGGAGGGGGAAGAGCTCTATAATATTCTTTGGGGGAAGTACCGTTCCAAATGTAGATGCCCCACGGCTTTATAACTGTGGAACTGGCAACTTACTCTTAACTTCTTTTCTAATAATCCTTAGCACAAATATATGTTTTCTGCTCCACAGCTGCTATGCAGTACAGTAGACTGATATTAAAGCCGAGCAAATCCTTTGAAAGAGGGGTTTTGCAGTAAGTAGAGGCATAAAGAAAGCACTTTTCTTCAAATTGTTAAGGCAGTTGCATCTTTTCTTCAGTTCTAATATGTATCTGAAGGATTCCATTTTAAGAACTAATTATTCCCATCGTCTGCTTCCATTTCCTTAAGAAACTGAGAATCTAGGATACTGCCACATGGCCGTTTCACTATGTTGGACCCCAAATCCCTCACAAACTGGTTTGAAACTAACCTTTGAACCCCTTCACTTCTGATAGCTTCAAGTTGCTAAGTACAGAAACCACCAGTTCTCCCTCCAGCTGACCAACAGGAGAGATGCAAAGAATATCCCACGCTCCACATGACAAAAATCCCCTTGCCCCAATACACACAAAAGAAAAACAAAATAAATAGTCAACAACCCCACCCTCTTCCCTCCCTTCAATATATGTTATGTGTATTTATCTTGTAAAACAAGGTACAAGAACTTACAATGGGGGAAGTCTTCCTCTTTTGAAGGTAACATGCATTCTATTTCTATTAAAAAGCCTCTTATTAGTTGTGATGCTGCAAGAACATGACAGGATTTTTGCAACTACACATTTTTCACAATAGCTCTAACCAAGGCTGTAGTTATCAGTGTAGAATCTCTGTGTGTATGAAGAATGGGGAGAGTGTAATAGCTCACCACAACTCAGAGGCTGAGTTTGGGGGAGACTGCTTTTATAAGGGAAAATCAAGACAGGCACTTAAACACTGTGAAACTGATGAGAAACAGACTTGAGTTGTAGTTTAACTGGAGGACACAATATTGGGACTGATCTAGAAGTTGCAGTGCTCAAAAACAATGACATGACAGATTTTAACTAAAAAATCGATTCTTTACAACAGGGTTCCTCAACCTCAGCAACTTGAAGATGGGTGGACTTCAACTCCCAGAATTCCCCAGCCAGCCATGCTCTACAAGAACCCTGCTCTACAAGAATATATAAATCAACTCAGGGCCAGCACCCAACCTTATCTTGTGTTATTTTGTAACTTGTATTCTTTTTGTTCAACAACTCTTCTTTTTCTTGTTGTAGTTTTCCCAAAGTTGCTTCCAAAGGAGATAACTGCTCTTTTGCTTCCTGAAAAGAAAAAAAAAAAGCACACGACTATATCCTTTTTGTTTTAGAAATCTGCTTTTTGTCTTTACAGATACACATTACAGTCTTGCAGTGATTGAACGGAATGTATAAAGCTGAACTAAAGTGAAACAAGGGAGAAAAACTCATGAGAGCCCCAACAGGTTTTTAATTGTATATTTATTTACTGTTTTTAACAAGTTGTGAGCTGCCCAGAGTCCCCCACTGGGGGGAGATGGGTGTAAGACTAGGCTGAAGCTGCCACAACCTAAAGATGAAGCAGCCACATAAGCAGAGAGGACAAAAACCAGGAATCTTGTCTATGAGATCCCTTCGGGGAGGTAGATAAGAAGGAAGGAAGTCCTTAAGGAAACAAAGGAAAAATGTGACCTGAACCAGACAAAAGAAGGTGGGCCGGAGTGCATGGAAACCCCAATCCCACCAACAACTGCCAGAGTTGTGAATCAACAAAGCAAGAACTTTTGGGGATAAAAGGGGCCCCAAAGC